CGCAGCTTGTCAGTAATACAAAGAATTTCAGAATCCATTAATCTCCGGAGAAAATACAATATTATTTGTTAAATAGAATTAAAACCGAAACCCATAACCGAAACTCAGAACCGAAAAATAACAGTTATAGTACGAATATAATAACCGTCCTGAAGAACCAGAACCGAAAACGATATTAGCCTAATCTATAATTAGCAGAACTAATTGACGCTCAGATTGTACAGGAAAAAGGACAATTTTGGAAGAGAAGATGCGATTATTCGAGCCTTGCGGCTCGTTTTTATAGTTACCGATTATCAAGAGCTATAAAAACGTATCTCTTCTTCCCAAATTGTTCTAATCCGAGCGCGAATTAAGGAGAACTTATTGTATACCTTTCGCAAATGAAATCAATGTGGATTGAACGAATAAAATCTTCCTTTTATAATATCATAAAAATTAACCCTAAGCCTATGAAAATTGTTTTACGATCTATTGTTACCGTTTAATCAGCTTTTAAATTAGAAGCGTACCATCAACGTTAGAATTCGCGTGAAAATCCGTCAAAGTTCGAAGCACCATAACTTCGTGAAAAAAGATTGCAACACGGATGTATCTGAGCTTATTTTACAGAGCGAAACCTCCGTTTTCAATGCGCCCTAATTATCTCGTTTCAGACTACGTTTGGTGAATAATAATTCGAACCCAAAGACACGGCATTAATTCCAATGATTCTACACGCACAAAGCAGAAATGAACGCAATCGCGGTCGTCCTTTCTTTCGTTATCCATCTTCATTGGTGAAATAATTAATTAAATGCAACGTACATCGGTTACGGAGTTTAGCAAAACCGGAGTTGTCGGCCACCCCCGGACATCGTGCCGCTTATTACGACGTTAAAAAACAACGCGTAATTGCAAATTAATTTCTGCACTTTTATACGAACCACGATGTTGCGAACATTCAACCCGGGTTCGATGTACCGGGATGAAAAGTTGTTGGAACGAATCCCACTCGAGTCTCGCGGCAAAATATTTCCAGAAACAATTTAACCCTTAACGGTCGCCCGTTACTTTTTCGCCGGCCTGTACACAAATACACGCGTGTCCCGTGCACCATCTATAGACCGAACAAACACGGCCGGATGAAGTGGATGGTCGCGCGGGCGGGAAATCGGGCGGGAAACGCGCGGGGTTGGTACCCCGGTGGAAACGGAAAGGGTTGGGAATACAGAGGAAGAGGAGCGCGGTGTTTAAAACGGCGACGAGTGTATTACGGCTTTTAATTACGAAGCTTCTTCTTTTTCGTGTTCCTCGCGGCCGCGCGTTGTTTTTCTCTCCCGCTGTAAACGGGCACAGTTGGTAACCGAGAGCACATTGTCGCCTGCACTTGGACAATGAGTCATTGAGAGACAGCGCGGCGACGTCGCGGGGCGGGCCAGGGGAAGGGTTGAGGCCCGGGAAAGGAGATGTTCCAGGAGGAATGACTGAAAGAAAGGAGGACAGGGTAGAAAGCCCGAAGGCTCGCATAACGGACGTTTGCAAATGCGGCGGCCGTGTGCGGGATTTGTTTCGGTGGAAACGCTTTTCGGAGGCGCGCCAGCCGGGCACACTTTTAACGGAATGTCTTGGCCGCGATGGAGAAGGACAATGCGTGCCTGGTTGCGGGGACAGTATTCAAAGTAATATCGCGGGTTGTAATCGAAAGTGGTGAGGATTGAATAAAACGCGGGAGGAGGGGACGGGAGGGGGGCTGGTCGCGTTGCATTTTGTAATAGTCGCGTTTCGTGCGCGGTCTGAGCTATCTGGGTCGGGTAAATTGTTATTCCTTTTGATCCAGTCGCGGCCCATTGAAACCGCATTGGTAGTTCCTTGCGAGTAGGCAGTTGCCGGCTGCTGGGAACGGTTTTCAGGGTCTTCGTGTCGGTTAAGAGACCTCTTTCTTTCTTTCTTTCTTTCTTTCTTTTTTTTTCGCCGTCTTCGTTCGCCCGGCGCGCAGAGCCGCGATCATTTTCGAGACGAACGGTTATGAAACGCCGCCGTGTTGCATCCCCGATGCATTTCCACGTATATTCGAACAGAAAGTTCGGCACGGATTTGTCGGACACGATCATTCGTTTCGCCTCCGGACCCGTATATCGAATTCGCCGTTGTAAATTTTCAGTAAATTCGCGATGCGATTCCGTCCGGTTTCATCGGCGCTCTGTGAAAGTTGCGCACACAATCATCGTTCTGCCGTTGAAACGCGCCATTAAAATAAGGTTAATAGATTCGATGATCCCGTGGTAATTGGTGAATTTGGAATTAATCAATGCAATTTCATGCCGCGCCGAGGTTGACAATATTGCGCTTGTTGTTCCTAACAGTTCAATGCGGTTGATTGAATGCGACCGAAAAAAGAAACCGGTGAAATTTCATCGAAGCGTCCAATGCTTTCGTGAATGGAGACTTTTTATTTTTATTCGAAGCGCGCTCGAATCTTTCAGAGATTTATTTGTTTTTCCGACATATATACATTTAGGAAAGGGCACATTGGATTTTATAATTTGGATGATCCCGTATGCTTTTAGATTTCATTTGCTTCGCATTAGATAATAATTTAATTTCCTTAATATAATAGTAATAATAAAATGATAATTAACAATAAAATAATAATAAATAATAACATATTAATCCTTAAGATAATAATTTCCTTTCGTATCATTAATTCGTAATTCTTTTCCTGGTATAGTTTTAGTGTATACAATTTTGATAGTTTTTTCTTATTTTCGTTCGTTCCTAATGTCTCAGTTTTGATATTCATATTATAATTATTAGCTTTACTATGATTACCGTATTTGCATTATTGTAGTTGAGGATAATATGATGTATATTACAAATACATAGCATTAACTATTAATTGTAGTATCGGCGGTTTAGTTTTCATGGGAAGCCCCAGGATTGAGTTCAAATGGATCCATGATATACAAACATTTTGAACTAAAATTTTATCATCATCATCATCATCATCATCATCATCATCATCATCATTATTATTACTACTATTACCTTACCATACTTTTTTTAATTTCTAAGAAGAGTCGTATTAACCATATAATTGAACGATACAAGAGCATAAAAGATTCGTTAGCACTCTAATATAAACAAACGGCGGACGAGATCAGATGTTAAACGTTTAAAGCAGGCCTTGAGCTCTGGGTCCGAAAAACCCCGTCGTCCGGTAGGAGGAGGACGTAAAGTTTTTGTAACAACATTTCTACAATATCGGAAAATATGAGAGATCACATTGGAAACGTATTTGCTAATATCATTTGATCCGGTTATAACGAAGGCCAGAGAATCGTCCATTAATCGGTTACATAAATGCATTGAAGTTAATGGACATCATTTTGAACACTCGATGAGACAAATTTTCCTTCACTATTTATTCTGCCATTATTATTTCCGTATTTACACCAATTGTCGTAGCTTTATGAATTTTTCGTCGTGACCATTGCATCATACAGTGATTATAAAAATATATCATTTTATGCATCATCATATTTAATAAAACTTCGATGACATTGAAATCTCAAAATATATCATTTTATTCATCATCATATTTAATAAAACTTCGATGACAATGAAATCTCAAAAGACATAACCTTGAACAAATTTGTCTGTCCATCATAATATTTCCACCACTGAACCTCTGACAAATTCGCTGTTCTAATTCAATACTGAGACACTTTTAACCCGAGAAAGATAACCTATGTCGCAGAGGCGCCTGCGAAGACTGTTGATTTTTGTTAATTTTTCATAGAGGTCTAGTGATTTAAGTTTAAAATTACTTAAAATATAAAAAAATATAATATAAATGCATTTTATTTTTACAATAATGCCAAACCTTTAAAATGACTAGATTAACTTAAATAAATATCCATTGTTAGTATAAAATTGACGCCTTAGAAAAGCATGCGCCTCTGAAGCGTATGGTTATCTTTTACGTACGTTGTCATATGGTTATCTTTCTAGGGTTAAAAGTCGTGATTTGGAGATATTCTACTATTTCATACGAAAAATACATAGTGCCATCTGGATAATTTAATACTGGCATATCTTTAAATATATAAGGCAAAAGCATTATTGGGAACCAGATTATTATTGGGAAAATAAAACTTTAAATGCCTTTTCCTTTAAACTTCATTACTTAGAATTGAATTAATTGACTTATTTAGTATCGAATTAGAGCAGGGAATTGTTTCAATAGTTTCCAATATTTTTCGTTAGCTTCGGTTGACGAGTTTTCAGCTTCATTAACTTCAACGTACTTTCGAAATTCTAGTGGTTCGATCAACTATTGTAGCGACCAGGACTGTTAGAAACTTTGATCAATTTTGCTTTGTAGTAGACACGTTTGGTCCTGCTGGACGTAGACCATTTTTGCGGTATCGAATTTTGGAAATATGGTCGGCATTAAATGCTTGTTAATTCAAGCCATTCGGTTCTTTAAATTTTAATAAAACCATAAAATTGTACCGCAATATATAACAGCTTTTACAAATTTTTGTGAAATAGAAATAGAAATGAAATATCATAAAATTTCATTTCTCTCTTTCTACTCGCAACAAAATGCTTACTCCATTTTTATTGATTATTAATATTTTACAAAAATCCAAATCTACGCAAGCTCTCATTTTCTATCATAATAATCAGACTGTGGATTTTATGCTGATATGACAAAACTGGCTAGATAATATGCAAAACAGCGAAATCGTTTAAACAATTAAAAACTACTGCTCTATTCTTTTCACCATATTATAATCACTGAGAAAAGAAATATACGCAGCTCCTGTATTTTACAATCAATACAGACGATTTGTTAATTTTCTTCAAACTCCGAAGTTTAATGATGTGAGTATATTATACCACAGTGTAAATGATATTACAAATTATCATTGATCAGTGACACGAATAGAAAGGAATATGTAAGGGGAGTGCAAACTACGTAGTTCGTCTGAAAATAAATGATTATTTTCCAGGTGGCGTGGCTGCGTGTAGACACACAGACGATCCTGACGATCGCTACTCACGTTATCACGAAGAACCATCGAATCGCTGTGACGCACAGCGGGCATCGCACCTGGTCCCTGCACATCAAAGACACCAAAGTTGCGGATAGGGGATGGTACATGTGCCAAGTCAACACCGACCCGATGTCCAGTAACACAGGATTCCTTGAAGTAGTTGGTAATAACATTAAAATATCATCATTTTATATCCCGAAATAACTTGAAACCTGTTCAACACGTTCAGTATCGAATATCATCCCTAAAAATTCGCAATTATTAATATTATTTAACACGTTCCGTGCCGAGCTTTTTTTACTCGAATCTTCACACTTTGATATTTTACTAAAACTTGATGTATTACGTGCAATTATTAATTCTCGTACACATAACAACGTAACAAAAACTTATCAACGCCCATTCTTGCGGTGGAAATTGATTCTTCGGTTCTAAATTTCTTGTAAACAATTTGTTCAGTTCACTAAGTTAGCATGCAAGCGTGTACCATCGATGGTACACGTGGCACGGAACGTGTTAATTGATGAAATCGAAACCAGAAAGTGAAAATTTACAATAGGAAATAAGAGTCTAAGTCTTTTCCAATCTAAAAATCCTTGTAACATTCAGTTTGTTTCAATGTATCGCAATGAAGATGAATTCCAAAGCATAGCTAAAAGAAATATATATAGTTTAAATATATAGTTTAAAGAATATCATCCGTATTTGACCGATGCGGCTTTCAACGTGTTAATTAATTCTGAAGAATTTTATTTGTAATACTTATGAATTTACCCTAAATTCGCATTAACTAACAATTTTGCTGTGTAATTTTGCACTAACGACAGTTCCTAGAATTAATAATTCGCAAACTCCAGAGCAAACAATTCTCGGGTATTTTCATATCTGTTTAGATATGAAATTTCTGACGAAAATTATTTGAGTAAGAGCTGGCAAAGAGAGAGACAGAGAAAAAGAGAGAGAGCTAAATCGTTTCATGTTCTTACAATTGAATTATTTTGCGGGTACCTTGGAACGCCGCTATGTATATAAAATAATAATACAATAATTAAAGAGGGCGCAAGTTATTAAATGCTGAAGTAGTATTTACTTGAATCGGTACGATTGCCAGATAAAGAAAAGAGCTTGAACAGAGTTCTCCGAAGTCAGACTTCCCTTTAAACTTCTCGCACTCTATTTGTACCGCTCGACAACTTCGAAAAGACCACTAAGAAGACCTGGTTCAAGTATGGCAGAGTGAAACCCTGAATCGGTGTGTAATAACATGGAATTCCTTTCTAAAGTGTTTTACGACGGCATCGTTTATAAAGTATCGATTTGTTACCATTTCTACGGTAATTATTACTTTGATAACGCCGCCGCACAGTGGTCGGATTCCATACAAAAAGCGGAAGAAAACATGTAACAACTATTAAACTGTATATTTAAGCCATACTTTTTCATTTTATTTATTGTATTTTTACAAAATACAATTTATAATTCTATTCAATTCTATCCAATCCAATTGAACATCCGCGAAAAATGTGAGAGATAAAAAAGTGTCCTGTGACATAATTGAAGCACATACTAAGTACATTAAATCCTGTAATAATTATTTATTTTCAAAAAACAAGATTATTATAAACGATGATATAAATTTAGGATGATTTGGAAATGGGCGGAAAACGAACAAGTGGTAAAAAAAATCATAGTAAATAATAAGCCACACGTTTAATTGACTACTAGTGAATAAATTATGCATATTTTTTGATATAACTTTCTTCCGCTTTTTCTATGACGAACCGACCAATGTACGTCGGCCGTTTCCAGAGTTGTGCAGAATTATAATTGAATTACTCAACGAATTATAATTACAAATTAATTCAATTATATCGTAATTCGTAATTCAGATCTCCAATCAATTAGATTACAATATAATTCGTAATTGCAATTGGTGTACAAATACAAAATACCAAGTAATTAAATTACATCAATTGTGAATTACGATGTAATTGAATTAAGATTACGAATGTTACGATGTAACTGAATTAAAATTACGAATCAGAATGTAATAAATTAATCGGTAATAAGAGAAGAAAATACGCAGAAGGGAGAAAGAAATAAATGAGTATACGAAAAAAAATACATAAAAACGTATCCCACTTCTTCAAATTTCTGGACTGTAATTTAAAGAACTATATTTCAGTTACGTTGTATTCCAATTGCATTGTACTTGAATCACACTCCCGATACGAATAATTAGCAATTAAATTACCTGAAAGGTATGATTTATGTAATTGAATTAGAACGTAATTGATTTACAATGTAACTGGCATACGGTGTAATTAAATTGCGAAATTAAATTACAATTTAATTGAATTAGCACAACTCTGGCTGTTTACCTCGAGGAAACGTTATTCGAGGTTTCAATTCAATTGTTACAGTAGATTTTGCGAAGCAGTGCTCGATAGTGGTCGGTGAGAACGCGATTGTTCGATATGCTATGCATTTTCTTCGGGTACTTTTTAATGCAACATTAAGAAATCGAATAAGAAACTACTTGAAAGTGCTAAACTTGTTAAGTACCCTCCCTCTGTTCTCGAACCAGTTCAAAAAGTATGGCTACGCCCATCAGTATTCAGCAACAAGTGAATCTAGCGTCAGCCTGCATATTGTGCGCGCAAGAGTACTTATATTATCAAGAGTTTTTGCATGACAGAAGATTAAATGCCCGGCTCTTATTCACCGTCGTGTTAGAATAAGGTCATTATTCTTTTAATCACGAATCTGCTTCGACGACTTTGCATACGATGCTTTGCGTACTTTACACGAAGCTACCAATCTCAATCTGATCAAAAGGGACAACATGTCGTCTCGACATGAAACGCTTATTAAATATTCATTTGTCCTGCGAAATCAGCATACTTCCAGCAACTATTGCAGTAGGAAGATCGCCGAAAGTGACTGCCACGAGAAAAGCCTTACAGAGGGGCCAATGTTAAATCTCTACGGATTTTTTGAAAAAGAGGACTGCTGGGGCTTTAGAGGACTAGTTTGAACATCAAACTCTCCAGGGAGCCTTTTTTCTCTCGAATAAAAGATGGGCATTGCTGAATTATCTATGAAGAAAACAAATGAACACTAATTCACTCGAAACTGTGCGCATGCTTTTGTTTTATTCTCATCGCATAGCTAAAATTCTTCCAAGTCCATTTATTTAAAAATGCAATTTTTCCATCGCATATATGACCCGCAGCTTCACTACTATGGAAAATTCTCAGTAGATTCTATTTTATATACATGCAGTTACCATTTGACCTGTAATCAACACAAGAAATCGAATTTGAAGAAATTATAATTCCTGCATTGCATTCGTTTGCAATAAAACCAACCTACACAATTGATACAAAAGCTATATTATATTATGGAAGTCTAAAATATAATTAATATAATAAATCACTCATATCTCGGAAATTGTTGACACTGGGACAATTTGATGTACTTATTCGCAACGATATACAAATTTCGTCCAAGTGTCAACACTTTATTTACCGGAAGCCTATTAATAGACCTTTTCGATGACCAAATTACGTTCAAAAGAAGCTCGGCAATATTCTGTTAGATAATAATTGCGACAGAACTTGTTACATTGCATCAATTTAAACAATTCGATGAACTATGAATGAAACTGTTAAAATTTCTGAACAATTTTTTCAGAAATTCATACCTCGTGATCTTCGACTTTAAAAGTACAATTAACAAACTGCCGTTAGACAAAGCGTCAAGTTAACAATTAAAGTACACGTTTGCAACAGTGGAGGCTAGATGCATAGATCTGTCTCGATCGATGCATCGTCACAAAGCGTTGAATCTAGGCTAATAATTCCGCAGCCACGTCGATAGCCCCGGCCAGGAGCTTCGTTTCCCAAGAAGAATATCTTTGGCATTTCGTAACAATCGGTCTATAATTATGAAGGAATCCGTGCTATTCCGCTCGGGATGATACGATCGCCCGGATTGAAGTCTCGGAGTGAATGCGATTATGGGGCGGAGGGCGACCGCTTGATTATTATTTAAGGAAACAGCGGATTCCGGGCGGGACGGGGGCGGGAGGGGACGGAACCGAACGGGCCGTTTAGCGTGAATATTTGCAAGGAAATCGTGCGTTCCGGATTGCCGGTGGGTCTGTAACGCGCGCTTGTGCGCCGCGGCGGTCCCTTCCGCAGAAATTCCGTGATGTTCAGCCGGCACTCGGGAATCTCGGCTAAGAACACGCGGATTCAGCGCTTTTCCATGTGTATGGTACACCTAACTTACGCTCATCCTCCCCCGGCGAAGTGCATCCTTCTTCCGCGGCCATGCATCAACTGATCCTTCCGCGGAACTTTCTTGGCACTTGGTACCAGCGTTCCTGTTACCGCCAACTTGTCAAACTTCGCCAACTACGGTTGCCTAAGCATGCCGCGCAGTGTCGCTGGAACCCCGTGATTGTCACACCAAGACACCGATACTTGTGTGCCACCCTCACTATTTTCGTGGCAGTTCGTCGCGGCCGGTATCGCCGTCTACCCGAATTTCCTGGGCCACTGCCTCCTTGATCATGGAACGCAGGGGTCAACCGTGACCCGGCACTAACTACGCGCACAGTGATCCGGAACTGGAACTTGGTCGCTCGGGCTCTCAACCTTCGTATGGGAAACACGTATATCGTGCTGGGTCACTTAGAACTTTGGCGGCGGTTCGAGTGTGTCGTGGAAAAGGAGTGGGGAGACGTTTCGTCCGGGGCCCGCTAGAGGACTCATCGGTAAGGCTATCCTAGCGGGCCCTTGCCTTAGACGTAAGGGTAGTATTGGAAATGGGTAGATAAATAAAAGTAAAACGCAGTGAATTAAACTTATCCCTTTTAGTTTATTAATTTGATGTACGAGGAAGGACCGTCTTTACTCTCCTGATTGCTCCAGGAGACTGAAGACTATTCACAAAGACGAAACCAAAAACGTCACCTGAAGACAAAGAGCCCTCTGTTCTATATACAGATGAAATCATTGTTTATCTAATGGTACTCTGGCGAGACTCTCGGCGTCGATTCGTTTTTGTAACTTATATGCTAGAAGGAAAAACTTCTGAGTATTCAAAAGAGAGAAAATAATCCAATAGGTAGGACGAAGTCTCGGTGTATATATA